TCCGCTCTCCGCAGGCCCTGTAAGAACACCCTGCTGTACCAGTGACCCATCGGTGCATAACCATACCCGGCGGCTATGCTGCCAAGCAGAGAGTTCGGGTGGAGGAGCGGGAGCCAGCGTCCTGGCAGGATGTCTCAAGGCCCAGAGGCTTGGTTTGCCCTGCCCTGCCCTGCCCGGACGTTAGCAATCCCTGGCGCTTTCCGAAAGAGCAGCGACTGGCCAAGATTTCCTCTCGGCTCCACAGCCCTGGCTGCTACTTGCCATCCCCAGCGTGGCCGCCTTTCAGCGGTCTACAGCCGCTCCGGTAGCTTTGGACGAAAGGCGCTCTGGAAAATGTGGGTCATTGACAATAACTGTGGGCTGGTTAGGAGCGATTTATGCTGGGTTCTGTGGGTTCTTCTCCACGGTGGGTCAGCGTGCTCGCCGATTGATAGATGGGGAAACTGAGGTACTGACTGAAAACAGGACTTATCTGCCAAGGTCACCAGCCTGTCAGAGGCAGAGCTCATTACCCAGGTCATGCTTCTAATTCCCTTGTATCCCATTCGGAGTTTGTCCTCTGGACCTCGCCCCCTGATGAAATTTCAGCTGGTGGTTTTGTTCCTTGATCCTCAGAGCCTGGCACGCCAACCACAGACAAGAGGAGAATCACAAACACAGAAGGGAAGCCAGCAACATGTGACCGCTCTCCTGCAAACAGTCCAGAGGCGGTGAACGGCCCTCCCGTTGGAATGTTTGTGCACGCCGGGAGCGGGCTTCCGCTCGTTTCACTGGCAGGCGGGGGGTCTGACCCACCCTTTGAGCTGCGCTGGTGGAGTGGTTGGCCTCCCACGACAGCCTGGACAGACGGTTGATCTCCCACAACCCCAGAGTCAGCGTCGAGATCCAGAGTGCGACGGCGAACGCTCCCCCTTCTTCGCCACTTGACCCTGGTGCTGGAGGCAGCAGGCGGCACTTACGTGCAAGCCAGCAACAGACCATTCAGTGACTATACCCAGCTGGGGAGACTGAGGCACAGGGCGGCAATGCAACTCGCCCACAGCCAGGAATAGAACCTAGGAGTTCCTGACTCCCAACCCGCAGTACAGACTGGTCGGGTTTTATCCCATTGGTTCAATGCCAACAAAATAAACAAGAAGTCCTGAAGTTCCGAATTTGACATTATAACGACACTAGGAACGAGAGGCAACTTCCTTCCAACACAATCAGGGGGTCGCGTTCCATCATCACTGGAAACTTTCCACTCAGGCTGTTCGCCTACATATATTTATAGGTGCATCTGAAAACGGGTCACTCACGCTCTTCCCCAGAGGCACCAGGAGAGGGGAAAGGTCTTTCTTTTCCACTGTGCTGCGGCCACTCCAGGTTCAGACAGCCCAATGCCCCCTCTCCTTCCAGCGCAGAGGAAAGTGCAAAGGACGTTGCTGGTGGTTCAGATTCGGTAACGCATCTGAGCTCTCCATGAGCCTAGAGGTCGCCTGGGCCCCCTCAGCCCTGCCTGAGTGGATGGACAGGCTCTCCAGGGGACAGACTCCAAGTTCTGTGCCGGACGCTGTGCAGCAACGGACAAGAAGAATTCGGGCAGCAAAGAGCACAGCCTTCAGCTGGGGGTGCCTTGCCAGCCCTCCCGTATTGCGTCTCAAAGCAAAACACACTTAAGAACTGCCTGCAAGATGTTATTTATTCTGAGCTAGGTGCTGGGCAGATGCAGAGGAGAGGGCTGCTGCCCTGAGGAACATGGCATCTCTTATCCCCAACACGTCAGTGACGAGCAGCCACCCTGGCTCCATTTCAAAGCTGGGCACAAGGCCACTTCAACTCTCTCGGCTCCAAGCTCTGGGAGCATCCCATGTGCTAATGGAGGCATCTGAACTCGAAAAGCACCTCGGTTATACCCAAGCTGTTGATTTTTTTGCTCCCACCTGCCAAGATGCAGGACTGCTCTGACGGTCTGATGCATTGCTGACAGACCAATGCATTGCAGCAACTTCCTGGCACGGCACCTCCCACCAGAGGTCATCGCTGGAGGAGGTGCGAGCCCTCAAAACTTCCAGGCCTTTTGAAAGGGACGACATTCATTCTCGAAGCCTGGGCAAGAGGTGACATTTAATTCAGATCATCAAGTCGAGTGAACATCGTGTTTTCCGACTGAAGAGAGACTTTTACAAACCGCCGTCTCCGGCGATCGCCCTTTAACTAGCACCTGATCGCAGGGCTGCACCCATGTGTCTGGAAATCCGCAAAGGAGGTCAGCTGCTGAACCTGAATCCTATTCCCTCTTCCTGCAAAGCAAGACACTCCCTGGAAAGCTCTTTACATGTTATCATAACATCTTCCGTTGCTAAAGAAACCAGCACCCACCTGCCCTCCCCGAAGGGTAAACCTAAAGGCCTGCAGCTGTCCAGCAAACCGCAGGACCTAGGGCTGGACCCATCCTTGCTTCAGTGATGCTAGATCCCATTTAGACGCAGCAAGTTTTACTAAGCCAGTGGTTGCCCATGCGTGGTCCACGGATCCCCCATGGTCTATCAAGCCCTTGAGCTAGTCTTCAGCCAGCTAAGGCAGTCTCCTGGGGTATTGCCGAGGGTCTGCAGCCAGCTAGCCGCTCACATCTGGTTCTTTGGTTCCAGGTGCTAAATTCCATTGAAAGACGCGAAGTATCCGGGAAGAATTCCCCTCGCATCACCGCTTCCCACGGACAATCGCTGAAGTTGCCACAGGGACGTCGTGCGGCTGGGAGCAGAGCTGTCCACAAGACCATCTCTCTGGCAATAGATGTGGGGGCCGGATCCCCAAAATGTAAAACACCAACTTCCCTGCCGCAGCCAACCCAGCCTGAGCCCCCCGACGCTGTGAGCGGCCCTGGCCGGGTCCCCACTGCCTCTTCCGCTGCACCCAATGCTGCATACAAGTGCCCCCCTCCCTTAGGCCCCCTCTCTG